AACCCGCCAGCAGCGTGGATTCCTCTTCCTCTAATCAGAGATTTTTCTCATAAACATTCATATTTTTTGCCACTTGAGAGCAAATTGCTTAATGGTTAACGCCACGTGTGTCGCTTTCCACCGCCATCATGTATTTCCATGTGGATCCACTTGCTGACCCGCAGGCGTGGAGACACTTGATGCAGGTTTTTCCCACCCGCTGGTTCCCTGGGTGGGCTCCTGTGGTGTTCCCAGTTAGTGTTTGCCATTTCCCAGTGGTTTTCACCCTTTGCCCTCGGAGGTCCCTTGTAGAGTGATGGATGCCCCAGTCTCTTTGGGCAGGGATGGAGGGCGCCCGGTCGGCTCTCGGGCGGGATGGATGTGGGTGCCCACGTCATTCTCCTTCCTCTTGGGAAATACTGTCTCTTTTACCTTCTCTCTCTTTTTCCTTTGATCCTTGCTGCCCATGCCTCCAGGAGTACATCAGGCGACAGTTAGAGGAGGAGCAGAGACAGTTAGAGATCCTGCAGCAGCAGTTGTTGCAGGAGCAAGCACTACTTCTGGTAAATGGGAGGCCCCGGCCACGCTTGCCGCTTTCTGCCCGTGTCGCGTCCGCATGCGCCTGCGTGCACCCATGTCCCCCGAGTGCCTCCTGCCATGCAGAGACGTGGGGGACGCTGCTGTCACCGCCGGACCCGGAGCCTCCTGTCCCCGCTCCGCGGCCGCAAGCATGCCTCGATTCCCCCGCCGCCGCTTCGGGCTGGGTCCCCTCGTGGTGCACGCCTCTCTCGTTGCATCCCTTCCGCCGCCTTGGCATGCTTGTGCCTTCGTGAGGAGAGCAGCCCTCTTTGTTGCCGCGTAATTTTGAAGGCTGTTGGCAGCATGTTGGAGCGTGGTCGAGCTGTCGCGTGCCTGCGCCCAGCAAACCCACCCTGCCATGCGGGTTTTCGTATTCTGAGTGAAGGCTTTTGTTTTAATTTCCTCACAGGAACATCGTACATCCCCTCTTGTGCTGTTTGCATTCTAGATGTCCTTTTTTTTTATTTAATTTGTTTTTGAGTTACCCCTTTTTAATGCTGGTAACTGTTACTCTCACTGCATTTTCTTTTAATCCACAGGGATTATTCTTTTTCTCTCTTGCTATTAATTTTATTTAGGGAAAAGAAAAACCCTCACACAATCTCTGGCCTTTTAAAAAGGCCCTTTCAAAATGATTTACTCACTAAACCTCATAGAGCCATAGGGATTCAGAAAGATCGTACAGTTGGCTCTGCTGTGCGGCCCCTCCCCACGAACAATAAATTCATCCTACAGAGGACTTGGCTTCGGTTGGGTTTTTTCTGACCTGGTGGTGTTTGCCACCTCATCGGATTGATGCTTTGTTCTTCCCATCCAGAAAAATCTGGGCAAAGTCAATGGTAACTCATAAGGGAATGTCTGAGCCCTCGAGGGTCTCACAGTGTTTCCCTGGCAAGGCAGCGCTGGCACCCCCGATCCCGGCAGACGGGGCAGATCACCGGCCACAAAGTGCCAACGCCGGGGTCACAGCTCTGAATTTGCTGGCTCGGTCCTCCCAACCCCCAACCGTCTCTCCTCCAGGATGCTTTACAGCTCGGTCCCCAAAGTCTTGCACATCAATGAGCTTTGCCAGAAAACAGCCTTTCAGATACTCAGGCCCAATTTTCCACCCAAACAGATAAATCTGCAGTTTGCAGCCCTGCGTTTACGTGCTGGCCGGGCACCCGTGTCACTGTGTTTTCTTCTGGGTAGGAGTATAAGCGCAAGCAGCTGGAGGAGCAGCGGCAAGCGGAGAGGCTGCAGAGGAGCGGGACTACCTGGTCCCCCTGCAGCAGCAGCAGCAGCAGCAGCGGCAGGACCAGAGGCCGGCAGAGAAGAAACCTCTCTACCATTACAAAGAAGGGATAAATGCCAGCGAGAAACCAGCGTGGGCCAAGGAGGTAGGCGAGAGCGAGGAGCGTGGCGGTGCTTGTCTGCATCTGCAGGGCTGGGCACGGAGGTCGGCAGATTGCGCTCTGCTGGGTCAGCCTCCAGCAGATGCCATTAGCTGTGCTGGAAACATTCCCAGTTCAATGAAACGTGTGTGTGTTTGCCTCTGTTTGTGCAAGCAAAGAGAGTGGAGGAAAGAGGTTCTTCCATAAGGGCATGCAAGGAGGAGGATGGATCCCTCCTGGAGGGGTTCAGCCATAGCTGGGGACTTGTGGACATGCCAGGAGCTTCTGATGTTCCTTCCTGCACGTCCACAAGTCTGCTGGGGGTCAGGGGCGAATGCAGAGGGTGGTTGTACAGGGTTCCTTGCTGAGCACTAATTCAGTTCCCCATAATCAAACGAGGACCAGACAGCTTTTCCTCCTGTGCTCAGGGCTGTATCTCTTGGGGTTGCTCTTCTTTCATGATTTTCAGGAAGGCAAGCCACATTGCCGATTTTCTTTTTCTCTCCAGCAAAAAGAGGGAATTGTTGTAACAATTGTGAGATCCTGAATATTAATTATTGCCTGGCTGAATAGTCTTGAAAAGATGAAGACATGCATTGTCTGCAGTGCGGTTTCAGGATCATGTGCAAACTCCTTCTCCTTAATCTCTTTATGGTGGCTCCGGTAAGACTGGTGCCCGCTCTTGCTATTAATTTTTCTGAAGTTCTTTGTGTTTAGTTGGTTTATTTTTGTAACCCTACTCCTGGGCAGAAAGATCTTTTAATAACTCGCCTATTCTTCCTACGAAGCAGGATCACTGCTCTGCTGCCAGATGTCTGGCACCCTTTAGTCCTGGCAGAGATGCGATGTGCATCGAACGTGTAGCTGTCTTCTGGTCTTTCCTCTGACAGCCCTCAACTGCATCCACAATACCCGCAAGCATCAAACGCTCAAGAAATTCAATCAGCTATCCATTGCTAAGAAAAGGCCAATAATAGGAACAGTTCGGAGATGGATGTGCGTGTCAAAAACTCTTTTCACCTCTTTATACTCGCTTGGGTTTCTCGTGTCAAAAACTCTTTTCACCTCTTTATATTCGCTTGGGTTTCTCCTTCTTTCCTTTCCAATTTAGTCTTCAGAGTCTTTTGGTGGCAGATGACCATATTTTCGTGGAGTTGCAGCATCATTCTCCAGCCCTTCCAGTAGAAGAAGAGGTTTGGTAGGTGGGTCTGCAGATGAGATGTTCCAGATGTGCTGAGCTGCCTCTCATGGGAGAGGCTTCCACCTGGGTTGCCTCTGCGGCTTTCTGCAGAACTGGGTCTCTGCTGTCCATCTGCAGAAGTGCTGAGAGTAGGTGGCAAGCAGGAAAAAGGGAGCAAACTCTTTCATTGTCTGGTTTTAAATAAGTCCTCTAGAACGTTGCTGAAGTACCTCTGGCACTGTCTTCAAAACTATAACAAATACATATAAAAAGGAGTCTTATTCTTTGTCTGAGGTGAAGGAGAAAAGCTGGATTTAGCTTTCCATTTCAAACACAAAGGCCCATTTCTTTTATTCTGTGGGGAGGCATCTTTTTTTGATGTCATCACTGGAAGCAGGGCGTTGGGAACCACACAACGTGAATAAGAGCAGCAGAATGTGGCCTCCTACCCTTTGCTGAAATCCTAGGGAAGGTGAGGTTTCCTGTTGTTGGGGAACAACTCCAGCTTCCACCAATTAGCTCTCCAAACCGTTTATTCTTTACCTGTGTCACTCTGTCCGGTTTCTAATGAAATGCTCAAAGCAGCGACTGTGACATCTTTATCCTCTTGAGAGTAGTAGTTTGATGTACTGCCTTGACACAACACCCTTGGGAACTTCCCAAAACTACTCCTCTTGCCTCCATCCCCTGTTTTATCTACTGCATAGTCCCACTTTTAGCACAATTCAGCTACTTTGCTGCGTATATTGAAGTACCATCCTTGCTGGCTATACGATAGACTTGTGCTGATATTTAATCAGCCTACCATGGTTCTTGCTATAGTTTAGCAATTTCCATACCCAACCCATGCATGCTAATTTAACAGAAATATTGAGACTTTGTTTTCCTTTGGGAACAAGGAAAAGACAAGTCTGGTGCTCAGCCTACAATTTCTGGAGGCTCTGCAGAGCTTATTGGGATATTTCCTGAGGATTTTGCATGATATCCCATACCATCCTTGTTTTTATGCTCTTTGGTCTTAAGTCTTCTCTCTCAAGAGCTTGATCTCCACAGCTGAGTTCTCCTCGTGCTGTGACCCTCTCTACTTTTCATACCTCTCCTTTGTGCACTTATTTGCCCACCTCACTCGTCTTCCCATGGTGACTCCAAGCCCCTGCAGACGTGAGATAAAGCATAAAGGTGAGGCTGTGGCCACTCACGTTGTGGTTGTGTCCCTGCGTCCCCTTGTTAAGGGACTGGCCTGTTGGTGAAGACAAAGCTCTGGGTTAGGAACCAGGCTACATTGCATCTTCCATAGCTTCCCTGGAGCACAGTCAAGGATTTCTCTTTTTTATGCTAAACAAAACAGCCTGATCAAATAGTCCTACCAACATGCATGATGCACATCCCCATCTGCTCTCCCTTCTACTCGTCTTCTTAAGAGTGAAGGGTTATCCACTGGAAGTTAACTTGGGATATAGCTTGGGTGGTGTCCCAGACCTGCCCTGTTTACCCAGGCACACCTCTTCTTATAATGAAGGACTAGCTGGGCCTTTTCAGACGTCATGTTGGAACCCTCTGATGATCCAGCCAGGGATGTGGCATTAGCACTCTAAGCAGTAGTACTGTAATTAGCAGCTCTCTCTGTTACTGACTCTTCTGTTATGGACCAGTATTTGCTAAGCAAAGTGATGCAGATAGCCAGGTCTAACTTCACAGCGACAAAGAAGCTTGGTCAGCTGAAGGACGGGTTTGGGCAGGTAAGTGCCATACATGGCCACATGGAAAGGAGGGAAGGGGTTTAATCGGACGTTTTCCACGTGGTAGCCAGGCCCTGCAGTGCTTTCCTGCAGCTCAGAGCTTCTCGGGGGCTCGGGGCTTGGCTGCGCGTCACGAGCCGTGCTGTTCTCTGCAGCAGCCAACGCGCACATCAGGTCCTCCTTCAGTCCCCGTGGCTTTCATCCTTCTCTCGCTTTGAAGTGATGTATTAAAACATTAGCAGCCTTCCACTGGGACCCGCACAGAAGCTGCTAGGGATGTTTCCCATTTGAGGGGAATCTTGAGTTCAATTATAGATGGCTGGAACTGGAGCGATGATGAATTCCTGAAGGGTTTTGCTGCTTTTTCCCTCTCTTTGCCTAATGGTGGAGTCAGTAAAGCTCTGTGAAGTACAGCTGGAGAGTCCCAAGAGCATCCTCTGCTGTGCTGGTGCAACACAGTGCTAGTGAGGAGATGCTGGCAAATGGAAAACCAAGTGCCTCTCTCCTTCCCAGAACACGGACATCCCCATTTCATCACCCTCCTGCCTCCTCCTCCATGCAGGCTTTGAAGTCCTCCGTAATCAGCCACGCATTACGGCTTGGCAGCGTGCCGGAGAGTGCCTGCAAACAGCCGGAGGACTCGGCGGCGGCAATGTCTCTGGCTGCTGTCGTTCATGCCAAGGCTTGGCTGACAGGAGATGTACTGGACTGGGTCTGCGACCCAGCGCTCGTGCTGCTGCTCCCTTGTTCAGAGGGAGTTCTCCTTCCCACCCTGCTCTCCTTCCCATCCTTGCGCCCGCTCCCGTGGGCATCGCTGAACTGAGCTCTGCACGGCCTCTGCTAGCCGGAGGGCAGTGCCGGGGGAAGTTGTGACGTCCTCTTGGGACACAGCAGTGGCCTGGATGGCCCCTCGTGAACTAGAAAGGAAAGAGTCCGGAACACAAATCTCTTACTTAAATTTTACCCTGACTCCTGCTCAGTATCTGAAAGCAGAAAAGATTCATTTTTATTAATATAATGGCTCTTTCGTTTCATGAGTATTTATTTACTTAAAGAAGAGCTGTGGTTCTTTCCAAGCAAACCTGTTTTAAAGATTGCCTTTTAACATGATGTTGTACATGGTGGAATCAAGACATGCTAAGGGTATTTAACACGTTAATGATATGTAAATAAAAATATACATCAGATCTCAAGGTATCAAAAATTCTACATAAGACATGCTGCATGAATATCAATGCATCCAATCTAACTGCAGGAGCACCCAGATTGCATGTATGTCCAGTTTAGCTGAAACCACTGTATTTCCATCAAGGGTAACTAAAGGCAGTGGGCTTTGGGTTTATTTCTCTATCAGTAATAGAGGTTTTTCCCTTTCCATACATGACAAGGTGCCAGACTCACTAAATCTAGATCAAAGCCAGCCGTTTTCTGGCTGCCATGTTTATTCTTTTATTCAGATCAAACAAAAGCAGTCCTGGTGGTGTTTATAGTAGTGAAGGAAAAGGGTCCCCGTGATTAAAGATACATTTGAGAAGAAGCAAGAGCTTCTCAGGAGTCATCTTCTAGAAACACCTCTCTGAGGCATGTTGCCTTTTCTTTATTTTTCCATTTCATATTCAGAAATGAATTATGCGCATAAATACAAATAGTCGTCTCAGTGTCTTTAAAATGCATTTATTGCACAATCTGCTGGTTAACTTGGATTCCATGATCATACAATATATGTGATATTCCTAAAGAGAAGAGAGCTTCCTGTATGCATGCATACCTGGGTTTTCAATTGGAAATGGCTTTTTACGGGGCATTCACCCACTCTCCCCGTCTCGCCGCAGGTGGAGGAGCGCTCCCGGCTCAATCGCCAGAGCTCGCCGGCCATGCCCCATAAGGTGGCCAACAGGATTTCTGACCCCAACCTGCCTCCTCGGTCGGAGTCTTTCAGCATTAGCGGTGTGCAGCCGGCCCGGACCCCACCCCTGCTCCGACCCGTGGACCCGCAGGTAATGGCGCTTCCCCCGGCAGGCTCACCTATCGGAGCCAGGATGCTGGGGGTGCTGGTAAGGTAACAAGAAAAAGAGCGGATTAGAGGGAAATACTGTCTTGCTCCCTGGTTTCTCAGCCTTAAGTGTATTCGTGAGTAAGAGCAACATCTACATTCATGAGTGGATTCCTCTTGTCACCTCCATGTGTTAGAAACATCACGCTGGTTTATACCTTCCTTTGAAGCATCACGTACTGGTTACTGCCAGAAACAAGCTGGAGGACCGAGAGGAACCGCTGGTCTGGTCCAGTGCGGCAGTTGCTCTGTTCCTCTTTGATCTGGTTTATGTAAAGGACTAAATAAACCACAGCGCCTGGTACAAAAGACCCGGGACGCTTTGATGCTGAGGATCGTCAGAAAGAGGTTTTGCTTTCTTTGCTGCTTTAATTCAAGGTTTTGTTTTGGTTTTCCATTGAGTTGACATCAGTCACAAACACATCTGGAGAGGGCATAGATCACCATGACCATCTAAAAATTCCTCCTGGCCGCGAGGTCTGTAAGTACTCTGCCACCGAAAGCTCTGCACCGAGTGTCGGTGCTGGCTCTGGTCCAGCCCCTGGAAGTGCTCCTGCAGATCCGCAGGCTCCAGCGGGGATTTCAGAGGGAAGTACAAAGCCTTTGCTCCATGTCCACGTGGGCTTTCTATGGGAAAATGTGCCAACTAAGTGCCATCCACGTGCGGTACGCACACCTGTAGGTACACCAGCTTTAAACTGAATACATGCAGGAAAGCCCTTAAACATACAGCTCTTTTTTCCCCAAGGTACATGGTCTATATACGTTGGAAAGTGGGTAAAACCCCACCTTCACTGTAATCTTTCTGATTGACCAAATACTTTTCAGTAACCTTTTTCACGACCTGTATTGTCAACAGCTACAAAGACTTGTGTGTGGCAATAAAATACTAATGAAAAGGTTGTTTGAAACCCAGAGACCCATGTAAATGTATGCATGCATACACGTATACACATGATACAGGTACATGTGTGCGTAGACATGTATGTAGAAATGTCAAGTAAGAGTCACAATCCCATTGTATCAAAGAAGTGCAGCTTCGCAGGGTCCTGGGAAGAAGCTCTGATTTCACAGACTCAAACTTTGTGAATTTCTCAGATTTCCCAAAACAGACGTCAGTATTCCTTTCACTCGTAACCCTTAGATCTATAGGGCTGATCCGTGGGATGGGGGCTACCTAGACCTATAGAAACTCATGCCTCAAGATATTTTTTTTTTTTAAGCCATCTATGCCTCAGAATTCCTGACGATTTTTTTTTTATCGATTATTATTTATTATCGTTTCCTTCTTTTTTTCATTTTTAACAAGGAAAATCCATGCCAAACCTCATTAGCACGACCTTAGAGGCTGGGGCGGGCACGCTGTGTGCGGGAGCTGGCAGGAGGGAGCAGCCTGCCCCGGCTCCCGGGGCGGTACCCACTGAGCGGCGCGGGGCTGTCGGTACGAGCCGTATCGCCGTGCGCACGCAGGAGCGGGCAGGACGGAAGCATGACGTTGCCTGATTTTAAAAGGCTGAGCTGTGCGAGCGTGATTTTTCATAGATCTTGCGTTGAAGCGATAGAAGTCAGAAGTTCCTGAAACCAAGGCAGTGCTGATCTCAAACCGAGGGGGCTTTTTAGTGCATCCAAAGTGCTAATCAAATTTTTTTTTAAAATCAAATTTTTAAATTTTTTTTTTGATTCCTTCTTTTTTTTTTTTTCATTTTGTACTGATAGTTCTGTTTTGACTTGGTGCTTAGATTCCACATCTGGTCACTGTGAAATCCCAAGGAAGCTCCTTGTCTGGGTCTCAGTCACTGCATGAACAGCCTGCAAAGGGACTGGCTGGGTTTCAGGAGGCTCTGACGGTGACCTCTCACCGCACTGAGATGCCAAGGCAGAACTCGGACCCCACCTCAGAAAACCCTCCTCTGCCCCCTCGCATTGAAAAGTTTGACCGAAGTTCTTGGTTACGGCAGGAGGAAGACATTCCACCAAAGGTAACACTATCGCTCCTCACTTTCAGCACATCAAAGAGGCAATCCCGGAGTTAAGGCCCCGCGGGACGGTGCTGTGCTCAGCACCTCCAGCGAAGCAGAGTGGGCAGGACTGAGCCCATCCCCATGGCTCCGCGGCGGGTACCGACCTGCCGGGGGGCTGTATTTCCCGAGGCAGGTTTTGCACGAGATGCTGGGAGCCGCTCTCGGGTGCACACACAGGGCTGCAAAATAGTGTTGCCCTCCAGCAAAGAAAGTTCTCGAGTTCGGACAGAGGCCAAAGCAAACTAATTTCTCCTTTCCCTAGGATAAAAAGCAACCTTCTGTTTAAATAGAATTACAGGGACATAAAATTTGTCATAGTCAATAAGACAGGTCCTTTTTAGTCCAGTACCGTGCCTCCACTTGCAATCAATATTTGATGGAAGACTTGTACAGGCTCCAGCAGCTTTATACCTTCATTGACTTTTTGGCAGCATCTGGCAGTACCTCTTTAATTAAGAGTCTTCTGGACCAGTATTTCGATTGCATTGTTTATACACCTTCATTGTGGAAGAATTATAACTCGGCCATTAAAGTTCCTCTTACAGTGAAGCAGCACTCAGCCTGGGAGGATTTTTACAGAGAAAAAATGATTACAAATTGATTAGTGACAGCGAGGCAGTATTTGTCCCTGATTGAGAGGCAGTATTTCTATGTATTAACAAAGTAAGTGACTTGCCTTTTTAAGAGCAAAATAGCAGCTACGAGGTAAGCCTCCCTGCGCAAGGGATCTATGGTGGCGTGTCACATATGTTAATAACATTTCTCTTTCTGCTGCCACCAAGTGATAAAGAGACACGGGTGCTTACTTAAGAGGAAAAGCAAGCCAACAGCTTCTGGAGTTGTTCGTGTGTTTTGCTCCTCAGTAGTGCAGAAGGGTAGCTGTCTGGTTTTAACCCAATTTTGAGGAACCCCTTGCAATTCAAGGATGCCTTTTGCCTTGAGTCCTTTGAGAAGGGCATCTCTTATCTGCCATAATGTGCCACGCGGTGAGACCACAGCACCTGCTCCTTGGAAAAAAGCTGTTTTCCAGCAGTATGGTGTATTTTCCCCCTTGACTGAGGGAACACGAGCTGTGGAAGGGTCCCCACCAGGTCGCATTTAAGGCCATCATGTTGGCAGCAATACCTATGAGGGGTCTGACTTGACATTTTACTGCCCAAAGTGGGTTTTGATGTGTTTGTAAGCGGGAACGGAAGGACTGCCCTGTGAGGCAGGGCCGGCTGTCTCTGTGGTCTGGGGTCTTGTTTCTGCTAAAGCTTACGGCTGGATGCTTCAGAGGAAGGTAAAAAACTCCCCAAGTCCCGACTGCAGAGTGCCTTACCCGGAGGGGAGATTGCTTTTTAATGAGACAAGCTGTAGCTAGCGATGCCGCAGAATATAAAGCTCGCTCGCTTTCTAAATCTTTTTATCTTGCCTAACATGACTGCGTGTTTATTCTCAAAAAACAAAAAGGCCTAATCCTTTTTTTGCTAGTCCCGCCAAGCCCTTGGCCTCTCTGTTATCTGGTGCAAGGTATTGCACGGTGAGTATCGTCGTGTTTTTAATGAGACAAGCTGTAGCTAGCGATGCCGCAGAATATAAAGCTCGCTCGCTTTCTAAATCTTTTTATCTTGCCTAACATGACTGCGTGTTTATTCTCAAAAAACAAAAAGGCCTAATCCTTTTTTTGCTAGTCCCGCCAAGCCCTTGGCCTCTCTGTTATCTGGTGCAAGGTATTGCACGGTGAGTATCGTCGTGCCTCTCCTCGTCCGGCTGCCCTGCGCTGC